AGAAGACGCGCGCTTCTTTTCTTCGTAGAATTAAAACTATTTGGAATTTCGGTCTAAAAATTTGACACAATATTCTTGAGATAATTTAATATTAAAAAATATTAAAATTAAAAAATTGATTTTTTCAACCGATCACATTGGTCTGGTACCTTAAACTTTATTCGCGGAAAAATTTTTGACCGGGTGATTTTTGTAGTCTGTAATTTTTATTCTAGGTTTTTTTGTTTCCTTAACTCAAAGCTCTCTTTTAGTCGCGTGGGCAATATTCCAAATATCGATTTCAATCGCGCCGATTCTCTCTTGCCTATACCTATCGCGAGAGCGCGGCAGATAAGCCGCGATGTTTAGTAAATCACCGGTGCTGGTTGCGCGGTTCTTTGATGCGCCTCCTCGCGCCCGGGCGAATGCATCTTCACGGGACAAAGGATTACGTGCTTTTCTTATCGCGATCTCACCGACGACGCGGGCGAATAAACGAACGGACGCTCGCTACGTGCATTCGTGCGAACGGCTTTGTGTGCCCGCGCGCTCGCTCGCTCGTTCTTTCGCGGGAAGCCGTCCTTCTGAATTTATACCGCGACTAGCCTCTCCGAAGGGTTTCTCCTTCGGGCGTCGTATCTTGCACACGTTGCGACACAAAGGGGATTTCTCGACCCGGATGGAAAGGGAAGAGCACTTCGGACAATTAGGTTTGAGCGTGTCGTCCGCGCGCGCGCGTTCGCGCGCGCTACCTACTTTCCGAAAACTCGGACAAACGCAGCGCGCGAACGTTCCCTCCTATTCATAAGCCAATCTGAAATGCAACGGATCATACATATTACATCGGCGACGCGCTGAGCGCGCGGCGACCGAGCGCATAAAAATTTACGAAACGATTGCGCCGGGGATGCCGGAAAACAGTTTTACATAATCAACCGTGCCTCCCGTTTTTTTATTAAGTCACGAAACAATTTAATTATTGCTATTCGCGATCGGATGTTTCTACCGTTTCATAAACTTCGACGAGCTGATGGAAATCAGTGTTCTTCGATTCTGTTGTATGTGTTTTGTTTGTTTTAGAGCTTGCGTGATTATCTGATTACATGTGCATAAAGATTTATCGAGAATGGAATGCAAATAACTTGAATTTAGGGTAAAAGACCCAATTACCGTCACCTGTGCAATTCCTGTCACCCTAAGCTATTTTATTTAAAATATTACATAAATCCTAAAAAAAGTTATGCGTGAAAACAATCTAATATAGAATTTTAAGTGCAATTAATATAACAAAAAATCTCCAGCACTCAACGTTCGCGTCTCATTTCTTTCATTTTAGGGGTAACAGTAATAGCTCTCGCATCGTTCTTTTTTGATTATTAAATTTATAAATAAAAATACACCGAAAAAATTGTATTCTTGTTTTGAGGATATCTCACTTACTTTAAGTATATTTCATACTAAAATAGGCGCTAAGAAGAGTTTGTTATTTTAAGAGGAAAATCCTCTAAATATATAGTAATATTGATAAGAATATATACTGATTAGAATATAAAAAGCCTCTATAGAAAAACATATATATCTCACTATCGAAAAAGACTATATTCTTAAATTAAGAATATTTTCTTAAATAAAGAATATATTCTTAATTTCAGAAGAATATCATCTAAAATCTTTAAGATTTTTTAAGTATAAAATCTTGTACTTATGAGTATATAATTTTTTCGGTGTACAGAAGATATGTCATACAATTATTTTGAATATTTTTTTCTAATATTTATTTTGTACATTTCTCCGATATAACTTTTTTGCGTAATAATTTACTTTTGTTATTTTCCTCTTTTGTTACACCGAAAAAATTGTATTCTTGTTTTGAGGAGAGATATCCCACTTACTTTAAGTATATTTTATACTAAAATAGACGCCAAGAAGTGTTTCTTATTTTAATAGGAAAATCCTCTAAAATTAGTAATATTGATAAGAATATATACTGATTAGAATATAAAAAGTCTCTATAGAAAAACATATATATCTCACTATCGAAAAAGACTATATTCTTAAATAAAGAATATAGTCTATAAGAATATATTCTTAATTTCAGAAGAATATCATCTAAAATCTTTAAGATTTTTTAAGTATAAAATCTTCTACTTACAAAAGTATAATTTTTTTGGTGTAGAGATTTTGAGAGACGGTATTATTTTGTTTCTTATATTAGAGACATCGAATAATACCAGATAAGAAGAAAAACACATGGTTTTGATAAATAAGTAGTAAAAACAATTTACTAACGCCAGAGTTTATTATTCAGGTGACAGTAATTTGGTCTTTTACCCTATTCCGCTCCAGATCTTTCTATCTTTTGAAGTAAGAAAAAAGTAGTTTCTCACGCATTTTTATTGTTATTAGCTGTTTGCTGAAAAATGTTAGCAACGATTGAGTTTTTATATGTTATAAGTAATTACTTCCTATTTGTTTAAGGTATAAAAATATGTACATATTTATCTTTTAAACTTAGCACCGACACAGTTTTGTTTCGCATCGAACGATGTTTCTCGATCGTCGCAAGTTGCATGACAAATAATCGCGTCGGTGAGATAATAAAACGTCAGCGCGTCTCGCGTTCAAAGTACATTTAAATAACGCGACCAACTGTATTTTTCTCTCTCGAGATAAACAAGATAAACGGCGTGACTCACTTGTAGGTGCAACTCTCCACTAGTTGCATGTTTTCGTTTGTGCGAGAAATGTGTGTTCTCCGCGCGGAGAGAATTCACGGGGAAGCTGCTTTGGCAGCGAGCCATGTGTCGTGTCATCGCTCGTGCCGCGCACAAATTCGAGATTTCCACGACTGGCGTTTCGACAGGTAAACAAGCGGCTCGCTTAGCTAAATGCTCTCAATTATCGACCATTTTGAAATAAAATGTGTCGTCATCCATTCTATAAACTTCGTTTGTCGACCTTGGCGCATTTTCTTTTGTTCGCGTCGCCGACTTTGTTCATTTATTACGATCAATTCCGACAAACAGCTAAAACAACAAGTTATTTGTTTCAATAATCAACGGAATATACTATTTTTTATTTTTTATTACTTTTTGTCGTAATCTAGTTTATACTCGCCAACACTCAATGAGACGGAACAAAGCATGACCGTCTTACAAACCATAAAATATGTAAATATATTATAAAATAATATATTATATTATATTATATTATATTATATTATATTGTGTATTAAAAAATCACTACAGGAAGCATTAATCGCAGATTACCCGAGTCGAAATTTAGCGTCTACATTGAACCTCAATTCCTCTTTTTTTATGTAGGAGTAAGAGAGAAAGTAGATCCTACTTTGATGCTGCTATACGTCCGAAATTTCCTTTTTTCAAAAATTGAGGTTCAACGTAGACGCTAAATTTCGACTCGGGTATTGCCATTTTAAATATTTGTTATATACACCGAAAAAATTATATTCTTGTAAGTAGAAGATTTTATACTTAAAAAATCTTCTTAAAGATTTTAGATGATATTCTTCTGAAATTAAGAATATATCCTTTATTTAAGAATATTCTATTCTTAATTTAAGAATATAGTCTTTTTCGATAGTGAGATATATATGTTTTTCTATAGAGGCTTTTTATATTCTAATCAGTATGTATTCTTATCAATATTACTATTTAGAGGATTTTCCTATTAAAATAAGAAACTCTTCTTGGCGCCTATTTTAGTATAAAATATACTTAAAGTAAGTGAGATATCCTCAAAACAAGAATACAATTTTTTTTGGTGTAATTAGATCGATTGAATATTGAACATTTTGTTTAATTGCTGTTCAAATACACTCTTGTCGCCTCGGCGCTGTATTCACGATTAAGGATTAAATTAGACGGTCCTAATTGCAATGTAAATCAATGCCAGTCGGACGTGTTGAGAGAAACTCTGTGTTTCTCTCTCTCTCTCTCGGAGTTATCCTATACACATTGTCCGTGCGTTGCGATGTCTAGTTAGTCCAATTCTCGAGCGACGGTATTCGTATATCCGGTAAAATCGAATTATTAGTTTGAATACAAATAGCGGAAATATCACGACAAGTGCGCTGAATATATTTATGCGCTCAAAGTAAGCAAACCTAGCACGTCGAATGGAAAATGTAATTTCGACGAAACTAACCTTTTTTCTTTTTTGCTGAGACGGAGAGGAGAAATGTAGCGTCGCGATACATTCACAGGATAGATGGGTTCAAATGTAGTTTGCGATTCCTCTCATGTTGCTTCTTGACCTCTCGACACTCAACCCTACCTACTTACGCCGCGCGCGCAAACTTCTTGTTTAGATCTGTTGCGAATATATCGCGCGCATATATGTGGATTGAACTTATGTTGCATGGGGCTTGGAGAACGCACCAAGTAAACTCTCTTCGCGTTCGATTTTCAGCGCATGATATATGACGTGCATCGATCATGCGCTGGAAATAGGTTAACGGAAAATACGGAGGTGCTTCATACCTATCGTCGCTTTTCGTAAATGACAGCTTTCGCCAATGAACTGTGGGACGAACACAATGGTTGCTCCATTGTTGAGGTATCAACAATCACTAAGAAATGAGCAATTTATTCAAGACATTTAAAGTGAAATAGGTAATAACCTTCATAAGGTTGGTTTCTATTTTTCTGCAGGTAATAACTGAGAATAACGTGAAACGAAATTTATTTACGAGGCTGACAGGTGTGCTGCTAAAGTTCGAACAAAACGAACTATAAATAAAATATACATAGTTTGATTAAAAAGAGAAGCAAATAATAAAATAGTTGTTATACGTTTTCCTTCGTCCGTGTCATCTCTCGCCTGGAATTTGAGATATATATATTTAATCAAAGAATTAATCTCCGGATATCTCTAAGTATCTTTCGTAGAATCTGCGAGCCATCGCCTAAATCAACAAAGCGCGGAAGTGCTCGGTTCTAAAATATCCTCGAACATCGCGCGTGCATCTGTTTAAAGTGCATTGCTCTTTTCTGTTGCAGGAAGTGTTACACACGATCAGCGCGCCCAGCGGACAGGTCCAGCGTATCGTGATCTTCAAGAAAAACGGCGTGCAAGCCATGGTCGAATATCCTTTTTGCTATACATTTTCTTTCTGCAGTTTGCTTTTTTTTTTTTTTTATTGCGCGAGATATCGCGCCGCCCGTGTAGCGTGGTTTCGGGTGGTTTGCGTTTTAACACTTCTCGGAAAGTAGTGTGTAAATCTCAATTGCGTAAATTAACACTTTAAATTCAACGATGCTGCTCGCACTACCGTCTCGTAATAAATCACCAAGAAAGACGGTGCACCACTAATGTTCCGTTTACAGAGGCGTAACGCTATTTTACGAGCGCGTATATTAAACACATTGAGAAACACGAAGAATTAACAAAGTTGCAGTGACACATTTTGTTTTTTCAAGGTCAAAAAATAGTCATTGCTTTCATGATATTCTATTTTTATCCACATTAAAAATAGCGCAAAAACTCTGAAGCGTTTATAAATTTCAATTTATAAACAAAAGAAGGTTTTTTTTTATTAAAATTTTTGAACTATAGGGTAAAAAACTCAATTACTGTCATTCTAAGCTATTTTATTTAAAATATTAAATATAAATCCTAAAAAAAGTTATGCGTGAAAACAATCTAACATAGAATCTTAAGTGCAATTAATGTAACAAAAAATCTCCAGCGCTCAACATTCGCGTCTCATTTCTTTCATTTTAGGGGTGACAGTAATAGCTCTCGCATGGTTCTTTTTTTAATTATTAAATTTATAAATAAAAAAAATAGAGATTTTGAGAGACGATATTATTTTGTTCCTTATATCAGAGACATCGAATAATATCAGATAAGAAAAAAAACACATGTTTTTGATAAATAAGTACACCGAAAAAATTGTATTCTTGTTTTGAGGATATCCCACTTACTTTAAGTATATTTTATACTAAAATAGGCGCCAAGAAGAGTTTCTTATTTTAAGAGGAAAATCCTCTAAATAGTAATGTTGATAAGAATATATACTGATTAGAATATAAAAAGCCTCTATAGAAAAACATATATGGACCGTTTATTTTGAAAGTGGTGTAAATCCATTTTCTTTTGTTTCGTAAACTAGTTATACATAAAAAATTTACATTAAATTAAGCATGAATTACGTGATATCTCATTTTTTTTTCAAAAATGGACTTACTCCACTTTCAAAATAAACGGTCCATATATATCTCACTATCGAAAAAGACTATATTCTTAAATAAAAAAAGAATATATTCTTAATTTCAGAAGAATATCATCTAAAATCTTTAAGAAGATTTTCTAAGTATAAAATCTTCTACTTACAAGAACATAATTTTTTCGGTGCAGTAAAAACAATTCGCTAACGCCAGAGTTTATTATTCAGGTGACAGTAATTGGGGGGTCTTTTTTACCCTATATCTTGTTAAAAACTACATTCGAGATACGTAAGATGCAAAAACACAATTTCCTACAAATTCGACGGTACGTAAACAATACCGCCGGGGGAGACCCCTTTATTTCACACGAGTAACCTCCGGTCGCGTCTCACGCGAATTGGATTTACACGGTAACTTTACGACAAAACGTAAGCACGCGAGTCAAGAGAAGCGTCACCTTGTAGAGAGTAATCGGTCGGCGAACTCGAAGCCCGCGGGATCGTCGTCTGACACGGGTCTTTTCCGGGTCGAAGAAAACTTTCAGTCGAGACATGCACCGCCATTAAATCGTAATGAAGATTTATAATGGGGGATTTGGGGGTGTGTTGAAGAAGCTCGACTTTTTTGCCGCGTCTGTACCACTTTTTCGACTTTTTCGCGACGCTCAACGCGCGCTTTGAATGCATGCCTGAGTGCATGCGACATTTGCGTCATATTTTCGGAGGGTGAATCTCCGCGCCTGGCGGAATATATATCCCGGACTATTATATGATCTCGCCGAATAATAGTCGGGCCGCGTCCCGCGTGACTATAAATTTGTTAGAATTTCGCGTCACGCCGGATTTTATCGCCACTTACGCTGGCACAACGACGGCCACTTTGTAGGAGAATAACATTGTGACGCCGCAGTCAACTTTGTGAAACTTCCGTCTTGTTGGAAAGCTATGTTCTAGCCGTGTTTCCTGTGCTCGATGAACGAGCTTCACATTTGCGAATCACCTTGACGATTCGTGCGATAAATATTTTTACTTAACGATTTTTAGTGCACTTTTTTGAATTGTTTTTCAACGATATCGTGCGATATCATTTCAAATGAACAATTAAATTAGAAGCTAGGTATTTTAGAATAATTTTGGAGTCTTTGTAATCTTATATGTAAACGATCTGTATATATCCTTAACTGTGATATTCCTGTTATTCACGTTCGATTCGATAGAATCAGCAACCAGAGCAAAGGAGACGCTACATGGAGCGGATATATATTCTGGATGCTGCACACTGAAAATCGACTATGCAAAAGTGAGTACACCAATAAAAAAAAAAAAACATTTCTTTTTTGAGAGAAAAATTTCAATAACTTTATTTATTTAGGAATATATAAAATAGCGGATATTTTAAATTTTTTATTTATTCCCGATATATTTCGCAAAATTACCAATGATTATTTAATTGTCAAAGTAAACTCGTCATTATCGATCGTTTTTTGCTCCATTTACCGAACAGTTTTTTTTTTTTAAATTTCGACCTCATATTGGTGGCTTAAATGCGATAAAATCATTAGGACGCTAATTTATATACCCAATAGATATGTAAATGCTGCGTTTTGAGGAAAATTGCTCTCGGTAGCTTTGAAGAAGAAATTATTATTCTAAAAATTTCATTGTCTAAGGCAGTTAATCGCGTAATGCGACTTGCGGGAACATAAAAAAAAAAAACTCTGTTTGCTTGTATTTATTTTTCACGATTCGTTTTACCAATTCCAATTAGCAATACTCACAAATGCTCGCGGCATGAGAAAACAGAATTCTATTTAATATTTTGCAACACTTAATTAGCGAAATTTCGTTTAATTTCATCGGAATGTCGATAACTGTGAGTGCACTTACGGCATATCCGGCAGTTCTAGCGTTATTAGAGACGCAAATTGGATTGAATCATATAGATTTTATAATTGTCATTTGCGTTATTTCGATTATGAATTTTATTTGACATAAAAAGTTAAAAATTTTTCGACTCACTCAAATGTCAAACAAACTTTTCCCCAGGGAATCGATAAAATATATAAATATTAAACGTGAAGAAATTTAATTTTAAAATATCATCGATTTGTAACAACGATTTGGCTTTTTCCGACTTTTCTTCTAAAAAGTCACAATTTTATTACATGTAAATATATAGACAATTTTATTACATGCAAATATTAATATAGATATTACGCGATATATAAAATACGTTTATTTTGCCACGAAGGAAGACCCAGATGTTTCTTTTTTTTTTGAAAACAATTGCAAACCGACATGTGGGAAACAAAAAAAAACATTAAATTGATAATAATAATTAAACAACTCGAGTTATTTAACAAAATATTTAAAAATTTTTAATGTATAGGTTTTGATTAAAAATTTTTGATCAAAAATAATTCACTGTGTATTTTTCGATGAATTTTAACAGAAATTTTGATATTGAAATATTTTATGTGAAAATCTACTATCATCACCATGTTCTTCCAAAGAAAATTTTTGTTAATATCTGCGTGGTTCTCTCTCCGGATGTGTTTTAATAGAGAAAGATTATTCAGTGTGAAAAAGATTTGATTATTTGAGAGATAATAAAGCTTCGCACGTTACGTTATGTATGTGCATTATAATTGACATTGATATAATGATATAATTTAATACAGCTCTGACTTGTGGAATTGGATCAATTTATTACGGTATTGTACATCGATGTAATTAAGCGAAATGAATATCTTTTATACAACGCACACGTGTCATATCTCTTTCACGCGATAATATATGATGATGACATAATCGGTGCGCTCATTTCTGTAATTTATTTACAAAACTTTTGCAGCCGAACTGCAGCTGATATCTCACGTGGAAAAAAAAAAAAAAAAAAATGCAAACCAGATCGATTTAAGTAACTTGTCATAATTAATGTAACCTCGACGCCGTGTCGTAAAATCTTGTAATTTAACGCTTGTAAGCAACAAGCGCGACATAAGATGGATTAACCGGTTTTTATCTGATTCTACTTACCGCGCGAGCATTAGCGTGACACGGCAAACAGCCTACACTCTTTTTTACGCTTTTGTCGAGACTTTCACGCGAGGAAGAATTAAGCTCCGTTCACACAAACACAATACGCCGCGCTATTGAACGACCGAACATTTATTACTAAGGACACATTCGCGATAAATAATTGCATATAATTTTTCAGAAATAATCTGTTCATGAAGGTTACAGAGATATACAATCCTTTTGCACTACTCGCGTTGCTCTTTATATTCGCTCTCTTGTTTCCGTCAAAATAGGCAGAAAATCAGTTTACATTTTTTTTTTAAACTAATTATTTGTTATTTGTATGATTGTATCATCAGATATTGACAGACATTAGTTTTTTTAATTATTAGTTTTTTTCGCAATAGTTTAAAATTAGTTAGGGGGGTATACGGGGTCTTTCTTATATATGTGATGCAAATCCAGCATCCTACATGGAGGAAAAAAATTATTTCGTCAAATATATGTGTATGCATATATATATGCATATATATATATATTCTTTCTAATTTTTTTTTTTTTTGTATGCATATATATATATATATTCAAGCACATTCTCTGCATAACATCTTGCAAAACGGCCCAAACAACCCGATTTGAATTTAATTCATTCGTTATTTTAATAGAAATTATTAGCTTTATATTTCCAAAAAGCTAGTATTGCGCTTGTACAAGGCTGTGTAACGTCAGCTCGAGAAACATAAAAGCGTGAAAAAGAGTATCCGTCGCATCAGACTTCTGACAATGAGTTGAAACACGAGGAAAAACAGTGATTCGCAAAAGTGCGAAAAAAAAATCTCATTGTGTTTCGGGCAAAAACACGAGAAAAAATGAGCAGCCAAATATTAACAAAGCTCGGTGTTGCACAATTGTTCATTTAACGACAAAGAGCGATGATTGCGCGCCGCGCGTATTGAATCTCGACAATTTTCTAATACTTTCCTCAATTCGATATTTTAGTCGTTTAGAAAATTTTAGAAAATTGTGTTTATTAAATGTTTATCGCGCAAAACGATTTCTCTCAGTGTTTATAGCAATTCTGGCTTCAAGTAATTACAAAAACTCGAGATGTTTTTTTTTTACCGCATAACGAGATTCAAAACGTGTAAAGCAGCAAAAATAATGGCAACGACAATGATGATAACATGATTTCTTCGTTCGATCGAACGCGACTCCGGAATTACTTCGAGACTCACCGTTACCCCTTCTCTCTTCTCCATCGAGTGCGGTCAGTTATATTGGAAAATGTTAGATATTTATTGGCGATAGCAACCGTATTTTCTCTTCGAATATCGCGCGCAGCTGCTTCTTCTGCTGCAACCTTTCGAGCACATACTTGAAATCGTAAAGTGCACTTAATCGGCCGTTCTCAAACTCTTTGTAACAAAAACGCTAAGCTTTTTGTTTGCTTTTGAAAAGGCAGCTCTTCGACGATTGACTAATTTTAACAGCGATAAGAGAGAGAGAGAGAGAGAGACCATCTTTTAAATCTCTATATGCTTAAAAAAACATTAAATCTGTGCGACGCATATAAGTTAATCATGATTGGACGACATCGTTATGAGTTTGTTCTACTTGGCGTCAATTAATTCTGCAGAAAAAATGGACAATCTAGCTTAATGAAGATAATGAGATGATTTGCTCAATCATATGATACAAGGTGCGACAGCTTCGTGCATAACAAGCGCCGCAGAAATGCCGAAATTTTGGTGAAAATTTGGGGTAAGAGCATGCCATCAAAGAGAGAGAGAGAGAGAGAGGACGAGAAGAGAGCGAAAATAGAGCCGAACCGGCGCAAGCCAAAGCTCGAAATTGGATTTCAAGGCGGAGCTTGTGACAGGAGCTAACCCACCCCTTTATCTCCGCTATTGCCAATAGAAAGGTCTGCCAAGTAGCAACCGTGTTTGTTGGAAAAGCCGGTACGTCGGCTACACGTCACATGAATCATCCGATGCGCATCCACGCGCGTGAATACGCGCCGCGCGAGCAGGACGTTTGCGGATGTATCATCAAATATATAGACTCGAGAAACATTCGAGCAAAGTCCGCGTATCATTGTGCAAATCCTCAAGGCTGGTTTTCTTCCTAAAACCACACCGAAAAAATTGTATTCTTGTTTTGAGGATATCTCACTTACTTTAAGTATATTTTATCCTAAAATAGGCGCCAAGAAGAGTTTCTTATTTTAAGAGGAAAATCCTCTAAAAATAGTAATATTGATAAGAATATATGGACCGTTTATTTTGAAAGTGGTGTAAGAGTCCATTTTCTTTTGTTTCGAGAAACTAGTTATACATTAAAAAATTTTCATTAAATTAAGCATGAATTACGTGTTATCTCATTTTTTTTCAAAAATGTACTTACACCACTTTCAAAATAAACGGTCCATATACTGATTAGAATATAAAAAGCCTCTATGGAAAAACATATATATATCTCACTATCGAAAAAGACTATATTCTCAAATAAAAAATATATTCTTAATTTCAGAAGAATATCATCTAAAATCTTTAAGAAGATTTTTTAAGTATAAAATCTTCTACTTACGAGAATATAATTTTTTTGGTGTGCCGTATATCATGAATATGTCAGATGAAATAATTACTTAGATTAAATTATAATCCGCTAAAATACAAGTCGATATACTCGATCTTCTATATTTTGCAAGATAATTTCGGATTGCAAGAGGATTAAGTGCACTGAAAAAATTGTATTCTTGTTTTGAGGATATCCCACTTACTTTAAGTATATTTTATACTAAAACAGGCGCCAAGAAGAGTTTCTTATTTTAAGAGGAAAATCCTCTAAATAGTAATATTGATAAGAATATAT